ACCTCACATCTGAACAAATCGGTTATGTGGGAGCTTTGCCAGGTTTGGCCAGTTACAATAAAACTAAAGTTGAAATATCTCAAGTTTAAGTTGAATAATACAAAGGTTTCCTTCCAGGCATATGTCTTTACTTCTATAAGATTTATAAAAAGCAATGAGGAGGATCTCCATTTTTTCGGCAGCCTTGCTTTGGGTTGTGACTATTTTTCTTTAGGATCCATATAGGATGGCAGACCTCAAGGTAAAAAAGGTTATGGAATTCATTTGGTAGCCACTTCAAGCTAAGCTATGGTAACATAAGCATAGGCAACAAACAAACATTAAAAATGCATTTTGCAACATTAATAATATCATTTTTTAATCCTTCGAAAATGCGATCTGGTGGCGCGTGAAAACCTTGAGAGAGATATAGTCGATGAACATTCTGTGTTTGATGAATCTGCTGGTGCTATTTGAATCTAATTTCTACACAGGCCACGCGACTAGCTCCGAAAGACCTGAATTTTTTCAAACACTCACAGCTTAAGGTTGCTGGAAACATGCTGCAATATATCAATTCCGACCACACATTCATAAAACGCATTGCTACTTCGGATAAGACATGGTTTAACGACTTTCATATGAAAATCAATGGTCCGGCGAATCGAAAATAACGTAAGATTCGATCAAAGTCTAAGTAAAGTTGACTGTTTTCTTTGATTGTAGCAGGAATGCACACTCGGAATTCTCGAAAGAAGGTTGGATGGAAACTAAAAAAAGATTAACCGATTATGTGGAGCAGGAGAGAGCTAATTTTTCGATAAAGGTTAGATTTATGGATAGAAAGCACAAGCATTTTGCAGCACTTCAATGCGCCATCTTTCAAGGCTTTCAGTTCAATAAATACTATCGAACAACAGTCATATTCATCCGATATGGCTCCGTCCGCCTTTTTTTCTCTTTCCAAAACTCAAATCACCCCGTTTTCAGTTGAGAGAATTTGAATAAATTTATTTGATTCCAGAAAATAATTTGTGGAGAAGAGGTTTAACTTTGAAATATATATATATCGCATATTTTGTGTTTTATTGACTTTTTAATAGCATTTTTTGTACAAAAAAAAAAAAAAAAAAAAAAAAAAAAAAAAAAAAAAAATAAAAAAAAGAAAAAAATTATGTACGTGTAAGTTGAAAAAACGTAGTCTATAAACGTACAACTTGGTCATGAGCATTAAGAGACATTTTCTGAGGGTTGGCTTTGTACTACAAAAGTGTGTAACAACAACACTGGTTAACCAAATAGAAATCTTTCTCTTGTTACAGGAAAACTTATAACAATTTTTGAATGCATTGAAGCTAAAAAAACACAATATAATATTAGATGCAGACATCAAGATTTGTTGTGACATTTAAATATCGATTTTCAGAAAAAAATGTAAAAAAAAGATCTGCACTTAAGCGGGGAACCTGGTTTAGAACGCTGAAAATCGCATGATATTCGGCACAGTGTTTTAGGTTGCCTTACGTATGAAATGTTTCAGCTACTTTTGAATCAAAGTTCTCGCGCCCGCTTATCAGTCTTCTGAGCGCATTGTCTCTCAGAGGCCATTTCTCCGGAACGATTAGGAGTTTGACTCTGAAAATTTGTGGAAATATTTCTGAAGATATTTCTAATCGAATGAGATAAGTTTCAAAAAATCGATTTTTTTTCCCTCCAAACCAGGTTCCCCCCTTAAAACAATTGTATTGCTTAATTTTCAGTAAATACTCGGGGCTTTTGTGCATATTTTGCTTTTGGTAGATCTCTTCCAAGTCTCCAACAATAATCTGCTCGCACTCTTGGACTTAAATTCCGTTGATAAATGTGGAAATGTGGCACGAAACTAGACATTTTTATGTGTAATCGATGCTCACAATGTAGTACATGTACATGTTCGAGAAGAAAATGAAATTGAAGTGAATTGGGTCGAATGCAGAACACCAAAGTTTCAAATTGAAGTATTTTATTCACCCTTCAAAAGGTGGTTCTCCCTTTCAAAAGTTAACAAAAGTCATCAAAAAAATCCTGTGACAAAACGGTGTAATACTTCTGACAGAATCTATTTTTTTTACGAATTTTTCGCGCAACTGATTTCACTTATTGACCCTCGCCCTACGGGATGGTTTGAAGAATGATTGCTACAATTTCCATTTTTAGCATTCAGACGCAAACAAATTTACATGCAGTTCAATAAGCAACTATTTAATATGTACTCACACTGAATATAAGATGTCAGATGTTGCCCACAACGCTTGAAGGAATAGAAGATTTGTAAATCAATTTTGCTCCCTCAAAGTTCCCTTTTTTTTTTAATAACCTAAGCTCAACTGAAGTGGAAACAATTTGCCACTGTGACTCATTGAACTAAAAAACGAGCAGCAACTTATTCGAAACACACTTGGTAAGAAAAAAAAAAAACAAAAAAAAAATAAGAAAAAAATGTTAATAAAAAAAAAAACAAATTCACTAAAGTAGGTATGTAGGCATGTACGTACTACAGCGCGTTACAGACTGCAGTCTGCGACAAAAGCAAAATTTAATAAGTTTTGCCTGAACGCTCCCCGCGTCACACACAATCGTACATATACACAAGTGTAAAAAAAAAATTGCGCACCCGAAACGACAGACCGGCTGCATTGCGCTCGTTTTTTCGGTGTTTTTCTTTTGTTTTGCATTTACTCAATAGCGAGTTTTGAGCGTTGACAAAGAGAGCAGCGTATTTGCCTGCGCTCACCATGCGTCGACGTGCAATGCGCTTGCAGGCGTTCGGTGGGTATTTGGCGGGCAATTTATGACTATTATTGCCACCACTCGAACCGAAATCAATTTGAAATCGTTAAATATCAAATAGCGCTTTTGGCCAGCCGATGTGATAGCGATGACAACAACGACGACATGAGTAAATAAGAGCACAAAAGGTAAATGTAAAAATACACACATACACACACACGACACGCGCACACGCGTACACGCGTACACGACGCTTGCATGAAATTTATGAGAAATGTAAAAATCTAGAAATCAAATCGAGAAAAAGCCTAAAATATTGTAAACTAAAACACGAAAGTGACAAAGGGGTGGGATTGCGTGTCGACGAAACTCGGGCGCGTCAGCGTGTGTCTACTCGTAGTAGAGTCTACATGCGCAAATTGTAAGCAAGTAATTGAGTAGATTAGTGTGTAGGTTGCCCCGGCAATAAATGAATGAAAAAGGTCTGACAAAAAGAAAAAAAATCTAGGTATTTAATTATTATGGACAACAACAGCAATCACATAGACAGACGGCGATAAATTTTATGCATAGAGGAATAAGCCAAATTAGCGAAAAGGCCAACTAATAACTGCTGTGTACACACCGCATACGAATGTCAAACCCAATAAACACGAAACGATTCTCTTTCCATCAAGCAAACAGTCACCGCATTCGCAGCTCGGCTCTCACATCACTTTTGACACTCTTGACTTTGAGGTTGTAGATAATTTGGCCCATAATCTAACCAGGATCAAGACCGATAACATTGTCAAACTTGAAATCCAACGCCAAAAAGTGCGTGTTATTAGCAACTCGTGGAGTACCAGAAAACGCTAAGCCTTTCTCTCGAAAACCCCTTATCTCGACTCATTAGATGTGCTCATCATCCGCCCCATATAGCAGTACGAGAGAGTTTGGTCTTTGTACGTCGAGAGAGGATTTAATTTTTCAACTGTTGGCAAAAGTACCCAGTATTACCAGACCCATACGTATCGCTTTCAGACTGGAGAAAACAGAACTTACGACGTCTGCATACGCCAGCAGTTGTACGCTCTTACAGAAGAGTTTACTTTCTCTATTCAGCTCTGTATGCCACAGAATAGATGGGAGCATGAGTGAGTAAATATTTTGACTGCCATTCAGACGGTAGGGACGAGAAACGATTCTTCTAGATTAGACCACGTATACTCTGGGTAGCCAACAATATAAAAAATAAACTCCAATGAAAAAACCAACAAAGCCTCGCATGAGAGGCGCCCTTTTGCGAACTTCGCTGCCCACAAGGATGGTAGAAGATAGTGGGAGAGAGACTCCGTCACCGAGTACTGGCTTTTATTCCGATTGTTGAACGTTTTGCTACAATCCGCATCAAAACGAAAATTTTCGACACAACGCTTATTTGCGCCCATGCTCCGGCGGAAGAGAAGGACGACAAGGGTGCCCTTTATGAGCGTAGCCCCTGACACAATATCAAAATTGTGGTAAGCGATTTTAATGCCAGGGTAGGCACAGAAGGTATCTTCGGTACACCAAAATCTACGAGAAAGCATCTCCAAATGGGTTGGGGCTGATCGACTTCGCCGGCGCGCGAAAAATGGTTGCCTCTTATATTGGATTCCAGTACAAGAAAGTTCACCAAGCAACCAGGCTGTCTGCAGATCGACAAACTTACAGCCATATCGATCTTGTAGCGTTAAACGGAAGACATGTATCCCGGGATGTGCGTGAGTTTCGAGGTCTTAACATCGACGCAGATCATTATATTGTCGCAGTGAAGATACGCGTACTCCTCTGTGTCTTTAGTCTTCAGATGGAAAGAAGATTCCCTAATTTTCCACGGCCCATCTTAGGTCAGAATGTTCTTGAATGTTGAGGTACTAGCCCAGCGCTCGCTGAGTTGGTTCATCTCAGCTGTCCAGAAGCAGACCGCTAGTTGACAGACTTCGCTGCATACGACATAAACGAATCAGTGCAAATGAATAAGCTTGCAGTTGCGATTCATTCCGCTGTGACCTGGTACCCAAATGAGACAATATTAATTTTGAAGTAAGAAGCTGAAGTTTACAGAAGGATACTTACAAACATCGTATCAGAATTGCTCATAAAAGGTAGTACAAAGATACCATACTCCCGTTTAAAAATGATACGTTTTTTCCACTTGAAAAACTATTGAAACAAAATCTTGGAAACCTTTTTGAAATTAATGTCAATTTAAATTTTAAGCCCAGAGTTTCTTGACAGCCGCTCTATGAGCATGTGGCCAATTAAATTACTGCATTTGTCGATGGTGTTGGACGGTTAGTGTGTGAGGTTGAAAAGGTTGTGGAGAACACTTAAAAATATGCAAAAAAAAAAAAGTAATTGCCTAAAGAATGTGAGCGATTGTTATGAGGGTATAAAATAGCTTAGCTGAGAGTTTTTAGATTCGAAGAAAAGAATGGAAGGTATGTGTTTGCGTGTGAAGAAATTAACATATATACCACCCCACCAAATACATATATATTCGACAAATTCCAGACAGCAAGGCGAAACGGCAATCAGACTGGGCTGCAAGGAAAACTGTCGCCATAAGCGGACAAATGAAAAAAAAAAAGAAGAGCCAACCATAAAAGTCATTAACAACAGGCAAGGTGATTTAAGAAGCGGTTGTCTGCCTGCTTCTGATGTGGAAGGGAGTGTGCTACAATGGGAGTACAGAAGGTGGTGAAGATTATGGTAATTCAGCTCCTTTTGGTCATTTACTATGTTTGTCAACTGCACGCATGCGATAGAAGAAAGAAAGTTTGCAAATTTGGTGACAAAACAATTTAAGTTTGAGGACTGAATGACGTGGGATTCTTTTTTTTTTTAACACACATTTCAAAGTTACTTGTAAGGATATATTCGTACATATTTACATAATATTTGGTGTAATCTTCTGGACCGTTCACAGCACCATAATACTCTTCTTTACTCAAGACAATTAGATGGATAGAAAGACATGAAAAAATGGTCTGGTCATTCTTCTTCGTCGTTTTTTAAACAAAAAAAAAATAAATTTCTTAATGATATTTCCTACGTTTTGAAGAAACGAGAATCGTACGAGGGAGGGACGACGGACGATTTACAAAACTGTATTCATGATGCAAATTATTTGAAATGTCAACAACATGTGTTAATTTTACACAATGGGATTAGTGTTGCTCGAAATAAGAGTATTAACACAATCCAGAGGCAAAAAGCGTGAAATTATCTAACATACAAATATAGGGTAATCCAGTGCGTGGTTTAAAAATACAAAACTGTATTTGGGCACATGTCGAACCTAACTGTCAAACCAGACATGTTTTTTTAGTTAAAAGTTAGATATTTATGAAAATGGATCGCTTAACAACCGTACAATGCATTAGAACTGTTAAAACCTAATCCAAAAATGGTGATTCCTGCTTTAAGAGGAGATCAAGGGGCACATAATCCTCTAACTATTTTAATGTTGCAGAATCGAATGTGTCTATTTTTCGAAGTTCTTAAGAGCTGAACCTTTCTTACGGCAGATGGAGGCGTATTTTTCAGAGGTGAAGTTCTCCTACATCTAAATAAAGTCCAGCTGAAGCCAGCTGATTATTCACTATCCCGTATAACGTGGTTGGAGTGCTGGAACAACAAGCAGTTGATGACGATTACTCGAACGAAATTTTTCTGTAGCGACGAGACACAACCCTCACCCCGGGGATACGTAAATAAGTGCTTTTAGTGCTCTGAGAATCCTCAAATAATTAAAGTGAGGCCATTAAAAAAAAAAAAAAAAAGTACTTACTGCCTGCTGCGCTTGAATTGAACGGCAAAGACTATGAATTCAGTCCGTAATGGTCGTATCATAACCGACTTATTTTGGCCTGCACGACTAGGACAAAAGGTATTTTCACCAAGTTAATGCCACAAGGCGCTCAACACGAGCGAATATGCTTTTTATTACGGGAGAGATTTCCGGCCACGTAATTTTCGTCCTGGCGATATCTATAGGGGAGACCGTACGATTTGACAATGTTGGACTGGGGCTACGCGAAAGACCATCTTTGTGTGGATAAAACCTTTAACTCTTGAGCACCGAGTTTCCTCTTAATATTAAATACTAAAAAGTTTCCCAACTTGGCGAGGCGGTCATTTGAATGATGTAGTGTTTCACATACAATATAACGTCAGGTCCAAACTTTATAACAAAAAAATTAAATAATGAGAAAAAAAAATATTTTCGAACCAAAAAATGGTTAACCTTGTATAATTGGCACTCTTTAACCACTGTAGCGATTTTCGCCTCCGATTTGTAGAGTGGGTCTTGATCTGTTTCAGGGACAAATAGTTGAAGGGGCTCAATCAGAGGTACACTTTCGAAAAATCGATTTTTTTTTTACATTCTTCGATAGCTTACACCTTTGAAAGAAAAAACAAACATCGATCCCAGGTGCATGAGACCAGTTATGTAAGTTCAAGTGTAAGTCTTTCTTCTTTCAAAAATGTTTATCTCCAAACAGCTTTTACGAAATTTGACTTTGAGGTAATTGTAACTCAAAAATAAATAGTCGGATCGACTTGAAACGCATTCAGGCATAAAAAGATCCTCGAATATAGCGATCGACTTAAAAATGAAAATTTGGAATTTAAAATACCGTCAGATTTTTAAGATAAGTTTTAATATTTTTCTGATTACATTCTTTTACCTCAATCGTGAGTCACTTTGAAGTTAATACATTCCTTTTTAACGCTTTTTTGTGTTTTTCATTTTCAGCCTGCATGGTACGGCAGTTAGGGCGACAACATAGAGGAATATTTATTTTTCGGATCTACGAGGGATGCGCCTATCTCGTCGAGAATGTAAGATTTCCGTTTGAAAAAATATGTATAGACAATTATACCCTTGAAAGTGTAAAACATACAACGGAGAAGTTTTCTTTAAAAAAAATTCTAAAAATCGCCTCTTTTTGCTGTTATACTGGTTGGGCCAGTTAATGTAAGCGGTCTCCAAATTCTTGGAGGAGTTGACATTCGCTGCCGCGATTAGAAACAAAATTGTAAATTAATTTACTATCGCATTATATGCTGTTTGCTCAGGGTTCGAACTCATGACCCTCCGCATCGTAGCATGCACTGCCAGCCCTTTGGAAAAAAAGTGTCACGTGTCGCCACAAATAATCTCATTCTTATTTGGTTTGGTTTTTAGTTTGGTTCAATGACAAATATTACTGCGCACATTTCGCAAAAATTTTTTTTCTATTATATAATATACGTGTAGTACATGCATACATGCCTCCTTAAGCTTGTCACCACTACTAATTGCTTTGTTGTTTTCGCAGCAAACGATACGAATTTAGTAAAAATAACAGCAGAAAAGCAAGTAAAGATATTAAGCAAGAGAATAGGAGAATAAAATTTGCTAAAGCAAAAGCAAAAAAAAAAAAGACAGCAGAAAATAACAATAAAAATAACAAGTAACACCAATTCGCAAGCGTTAAGACAAACAAGATGAATATATGTATGTATGTGGTATGTACATATACATATGTACATATGTATTGATACTCTTGTTTGTGGAGAAAAAGGTAACAAATAAATAGAATGCCATAAACAGTAGCAGCTGCTGTTGATTTAGTGCGGAAAGGAGCAAAAATAATAACATTAACAACAAATAACTAGAGGAAATGAATGAAAGGAAAATAAAAGTAATAGAAAGAAAACAATAGCTAATGCGCAAGCGAGCGAGAGTGTAGGAAGGGTGGGACGAGACGGTACGGACGGACGGAGCGGGCAGGGTAGCTATGATGTATCTAGTAGTAGATGCTAGAGCGAAAATAATAATTCCTATTTTAAGTATGCATATATATATATATTGGGTTGCCCAAAAAGTAATTGCGGATTTTTCATATAGTCGGCGTTGACAAATTTTTTCAACGGCTTGTGACTCTGTAATTGCATTATTTCTTCTGTCAGTTATCAGCTGTTACTTTTAGCTTGCTTTAGAAAAAAGTGCGCGAAATTTTGTTTGCATTTGTTTTTTTGGCGTCAATTTTAAGATGGAGCCTACAAAGGAGCATTTTAGTCATATTTTACTTTATTATTTCCGTAAAGGAAAAAACGCGGAGCAGGTTGCTAAAAAGTTACGAGATGTGTATGGTGATGAAGCCTTAAAAGGAAGACAGTGTCAAAATTGGTTTCGCAAATTCCGTTCTGGAGATTTTTCACTTAAAGATGAGCCACGTTCAGGTCGGCCAAATGAAGTTGATGATGACCAAATCAAAGCATTAATCGAATTGGATCGTCATGTAACTGAGCGTGAGATAGGAGAGAAGTTAAATATACCAAAATCAACCGTTCATTATCACATAAAAAGTCTTGGACTGGTGAAAAAGCTTGATATTTGGGTACCACATGTATTGAAAGAAATTCATTTAACACACCGAATCAACGCTTGTGATATGCACCTTAAACGCAATGAATTCGATCCGTTTTTAAAACGAATCATAACTGGAGATGAAAAATGGATTGTTTACAACAACGTTAGTCGAAAACGATCATGGTCCAAGCATGGTGAACCAGCTCAAACCACTTCAAAGGCTGATATCCACCAAAAGAAGGTTATGCTGTCTGTTTGGTGGGATTGGAAGGGTGTCGTATATTTTGAGCTGCTTCCAAGGAACCAAACGATTAATTCGGATGTTTACTGTCAACAATTGGACAAATTGAATACAGCCATCAAGGAGAAGCGACCAGAATTGGTCAATCGTAAAGGTGTCATATTCCACCAGGACAACGCTAGACCGCACACATCTTTGGTCACTCGCCAAAAACTGAGTGAGCTTGGCTGGGAACTTTTGATGCATCCACCATATAGCCCTGACCTTGCACCATCAGACTACCATTTATTTCGATCTTTGCAGAACTCCTTAAATGGTAAAACTTTCGGCAATGATGAGGCTATAAAATCGCACTTGGTTCAGTTTTTTGCAGATAAAGGCCAGAAGTTCTATGAGCGTGGAATACTAAATTTGCCAGGAAGATGGCAAAAGGTTATCGAACAAAATGGCAATTATATATTTGATTAAAGTTCATTCTAAGTTTTATTAAAATGCATTTACTTTCTTTTAAAATATCCGCAATTACTTTTTGGGCAACCCAATATATATATATATATATATATGTGTGTGTGTATACACATATATATATACACATATACGATACTGCGCAACATTTCCACTTAATTTGCACGCCAATTGCCAATTGCCGCAATGCCACCCGCCACAAACAAATAAAATGGCAGAGCATGACATGAAATGAAATGAAATGAATGGCGCAGCAAATCAAATACATACGTGTATGTATGTTCGTATGCATGTACATACATACTCATACTTCATCCAGCCGCCTTAGCCTTTACCACTGCCACTGCCACCACCTCCACCCCCACCAGCACCGCCGTCGCCTTCGTAATCACCTTTAGTTACAACTACAATCTTGGTGAGTGCGCCATCTCACTGCCTGCTATTAATTGTCGGCAAGCAATTCGAACAACAACAATCTACAAATATGCCGCTCTTCTTCTAAGTACTACTCG